CAAACCTCATGAATGGGATTTCCATAGCTCTGCTTATAGCATTGGAAAGTTCCTTTTAGTTGGAAAGGCATTCCTAGTGCCAAGTATCCACACAATATCATCATGATCTAATTTTTGCTTTAATGGCTTCATGTAGCTTAGCTGCCTCTAAATTTGCCACGTCCAAATCCACCACTTCTCTATCATATCTATAAGAACGCACTAAACCCACTAGAATCTGTGCACCAACAATACAAGTTAATTAGAACTCACACTCATACACCTCTAATACTGTATATGTTCAAATAACAGCATGAATCAAATTAATCAAAGCTGTTGCAAATGCAATGGTTAAGGATTGCAGCATTGCTGATTGTTTTCAAATGTATGAGAATTACATGCTAAGGTGGCCCAAAATATCCGCAGCTTCAAGTTTAATGTTTATGTCCTTAGGCACAGATTTGAACCAGTGCCAAGAAATGAGGTTCTTACATAAAGTAAAACTTGGAAGTCATTTCCAATTTTTTTTGGTTAATTTTCAGGTCTATCTCTTTCAAGCTAGTGAAAGTTTTCCAATATGTTGGAAGCCTCTAGCTTTCCTATTAGATTCCACTGCTGTTTTACGGAAACTATGCCACCAAATAGTTGTTTTATTTTTTGATTTTTATAATTATTGTAATACTTCAAACTACTACCAATGTAGATTCTCATAGAAAAGATGGTTGATCCATAATTTTTTTGTGATTCTAATATTACAACACAATCGACATATCAATCTTGTGAGAAATTTTCCGGATATAAAATTTCAAGTAATTATCTTTATGAGGAAAAACTCGAAGCTCAAGCTTACGCATCTAAAGACCTCGGAAACATGTTGTCTAGCAACAAAGTGGACTGAACAAAATAGTAGCAGGTAGATACTGAAGAAACATTCAAGTTAGTTAAATTATTTGTTATTGAATAGTTGAATCAGATGTCTCTAATTAATAAGATTTACAATGTCTAAAGGCAGGTTGTTGCTCCGAAGAATACGGCACAATATTGCATAGTGTCAGTATGCTATCTTTGTGAATAAGTCAATTACCTTTTGGAGTGGTAAGGAGACATTTGAAGTGATGTCTTCTTCGAGTGAACAATCATACAGAGAACAGTAGGCATGCCTCACTGCCACCAGATGGTGAGGCGAGGATGCACATGCTATCTCAACTATTACTTGTAGTTGGTTTATGCCTTTGTTCCTCGACTTCAAGGCCTCATTCGCCAGCCTCGCGTCCCTTTCAGGAGGATCATATGTCCACAAAATCACCGATTTCTGTCATTCATCAAATGTTTAGAGTGTTGCATTGTATAAATGCATGGATTACATTTAGATCTGTTAATTGACCAGTCTTTCCAAACTTTGATTTCCACTAATTGAGCTTGAGAATGTTTTGCCAGAAATAAAACCAATTAATTTAGTAGAAGTTAAAAATTCATGTAATATCAGATACGGCGGGGTACTCTGGTTTTGTGATTTCTTAATCTCCTTCCTATCTATACCCCGCCCCAGAAGCCTAGGAGTGTACATAAAAATCTAAAGTTTTGTTTTTACAACAAGAGCTTGATACTGATACTGCATTTAAGATATTTAAAAGGACATCAATATCAGGAATGGAATCAGGCCAAAACCCATAACTTATCCTGTTTAATAAATGAATTGTTTCTTATTTAGGATCACATCAATATGTAGTATCAGGCATAAATTTCCACCTCCTGCAATGACTCAGTTCTTCGAGCAGCCAAGACTAACAGGACCATCAGTGATATGGGGTCAAAAAATGAAAAAAACTACAAAAGAGAAGAAGACCTATAGGCTAAAATTAAATTTTTTTGTGCAGCCTCTCATTTTCTTATTGAGAGAGAACAGCCCCTCGCCCCATTTGAGATACTCTTGACCAAGAAGTACTCGATTCTCTTTTGGATAGGCACTGAAAGACAGGATGAAAGCTATACTTTTGTGTCATGTTCAAGATATGCATAAAGTGCTGGAAAACATGTATATTATACATAAAATCCACCCACAATCATTATCAAGGATTCAAGAACACAAGCATACAACTAGAAATCATAAAAGCCACACGCACTGGAACTATAAAGAACCAAAAAATTGAAGAAAATAAATATTTTCCCTCAATCTGGAATTCCCAATGCTCACATGACACTACCTTCTTAGTTGAAGAAACCAATCATGTTTTCTTATTTTCTTGTTGGGTGCGGCAGTGACGAGAGGATTGAGACAAAATGGGCATTTTTTTTTTTGTTCTCATAGACAAAATGGGCATTAAAACATCAGAAGTGGAAGAAAAATTAAGACAAGGGATTGCAAATTTGTCAAACATGGCAATATCTCAAGAGGCCAGAACAAAAAATAGTAACTGCAATTTGAATTGAATGATTTACCCTGAAATCACCAGACAGTTCGGACTGGAGACTATCAATGAGGGACTCATTGTAAAGCTGCTGATATGTCTCTCTAATCTTCCTCCTTTGGCTTTCATTCCTGTGCCCCAACACCGATATTATCGCTGCCTCATCCGTTCCCCATCCTAACCATCAAATCATCAACCCATGATCTTGAAGAACATGTACACATATGGATACACATAAAATGTGTGTGTGTGTGTGTGAAAACAAACAAAGAATCATAAATTGAACAAAAGCCCAATTACCACCAAGAAAAAACAGAAAATTTCAGAAAAGAACAGGAGATGGGGCAGGGGCAGGGGCAGGGGAGGGAGAGAGAGAGAGACCCTGGAAGGCTTTTTTGAGTCTTCCACAGTCTTCGGTTGGAGGAGGAACAACATCTGGTAATCTGAGTGTACCCATTTTTCTCTCTATCAGAATTTTCTCTCAGAAAAATCCAGACAAACAGAAACGAGAAAATAGCTCAACTGCTTAGTAGTGTTCTATAAACGAAATGTTGTTTTGGTTTCAGTTTCTTTGTTTCTTATGAGTCCGTTATTGCTGCTTTCCCTCCTCATTCATAGCTGAAAAAAAAAAAGTATGAAAAATCTTTCACTGGACTTTAATGCCCCTTCTCTGAATTTAATTGCTTTCCAACTCCTTCTCTTATTTTCAACAATAAAAAGAGTGGAAGAAAATAGTTGAAAATCCATCAAGGGGCAAGTCAAACTCAGTTTTTTTTTTTGTAAATTTTTTGTAAACGTACAACAGGTCATTAAAGAATTTCATTTTCGGTTAAATTAATATAAAGTAATATAGTTGATCATCCTTCAATTGGGTTATTTTCAACCAAGAGACCAATCCTTATCAAAAATAGTGGTTGAATTCCAATGTCCCAATTTTGAAGTTCTATTATGTTATTTCCATCACTCGGGATTTTCATATGCACTCGTTAGGTACTTTCTCATATGTAGAGATGTATGATTGATTTGTTATTCTAATAGTAATGTCTTATATATAGCAAAATAATAATAATAATAATTTTTAGGCATGCCTTTTGGTTAATTTGCCACAATACTATCGAGAGTCGCAATGAAAGAAGAATTTGAGGAGACAATAAAAAGATTTTAATTTTCTTAATTTCAAATTTAATCAAGTTCAGTGTTAACGTCAAATTCATCAGGTCCATTTGGGTGCGGAGCAAGGTTTTTATTGTTTTTTTTTAGTTTAGAAAGGCCAAACACATGAATACAAGAATTTACCATGTCACAAAATAAAAAGATTAGGATCACTTTATAAATTTTGAGAATGTTGAGAGGGGTAGAGTATCAAATAAGATAGAGTTATGCCTTTTTTACACTATATACACGAAAACCTCTCAATGGAATATATATTTCAAGAAATGGAAAAGAAAGCTATCAAGCCCAATGTTGGGATTGAAGGCTTATAGTCTAGTGGAGGTAACTACCTTAATGATGCTAACCCAACTGTAATTCAAGTACTAACATGGATAAGGTGTGAATTCATATGCTTTGATTTCGAATTTTCACAATTTTTTGAATTAGACCATAAATTTCCTAATTCTAGCATTGATGATCTATCTTTAATTAGACCAATAAAAAAATTAGTTAAGGTATAAATAAACTAGCCCGAACACTTCTGAATTCATTTGGTTGTTAGAGAGACTAACAGAAATTCACTTGTGGACTTATAAGAATTCATTTCAATCAATTCTACTTGATTGACATAAATAATATCTGAAAAATGAAAATTTTAGATCGTCAATATACATAGTTATAATTTATCAAACAACAATGTTGCTTAAACTTAATTTGTTGACCTAATCCCTTATAATCATTAGACTGATAGAGATTTCCAATATTTGTCGAAATCCGCTATTAATTTCAAAACATGTTTTTTTCTCATAAAATGAGCCAACACATAGAACAATGACCCCAATATGTTCAATTAGTAGGAGGAAGATAATTTATATCACAACTCGATGTAAACTAATGATTTGTTTGATATAAAAGGCTATGAAGATATTGAATAAAGCAAAAATTGAGTACCCAAATATATCTAGATGTCAATTTTTATGCTTATATTAAAGCTTTTAACAGTTTTATTTCTAGAATTAGCAGACTTCTATGACATTTCATGTGCTTTAATATCAATTTACTTCATGTCTATTTGCCTTCCTTAATTACAGTTTTTTTGAATATTCAATAGGTTTATATAGTTATGACTCATTTATGTTGACGTCTAATTGAATTCAAGAAATTCCGAATTTGAAGTTGTAATCAAGTGTCACCCATTTGTTCTATCCCCGGTTCATAACTGAAAATTTTCAAAATTATGAACTTCAAAAACCGATTTGGCAGCCATATATTTGTTGATAGGAAAAAATCTGTCAAATCCAAGCACAAATGGTTGTTATAATAGCGTTCACTAGTCGTACCCCGTGCAAAACATTTTTTTTTTTAATGTATGAGTTTAATTACTGTGGTTAAAAAATTAAAATTTAAGTGAATTAAGTAAAAAGTTAAAATTTAAATGAATTATCGTACTTAAAAAGTTAAAAGGTTAAATTATAAGATAAACTGTTGGATCTGAGTTATTATTGTACTTTTCTAACCGCAAAACTTAAACAACTTAAACATAAGACTCTGTTTTATTATTGTAAATAGCAATTGATATCCTCACAAATCCGTTACTGAACAAAGCATCCCATGTTATGCAACCAATGGCAAACCCAACAGTTCCATTGAAATACCCCCAAACATTATATATAAGAAAATTAAAAAATAAAGAAATAAGAAAATTACTCTTACGGGTTAACCCGAATAGCTATAGCCTCACCTCTCAACCAAAAGGTCCAAGATCCAAAACTCATCAGTGATCAGGTGTGAATAAGATGGAAGCAAATTTATCTAATACACGTGATTTGTGAATATAATTGTCTTACTTGTTTATAGTCTCTTGTTAGGTTGTATAACAAGTCACCTCTGAGATACAAAAAAAGTCACCCAATTCCATATAATTGCAATTCTAGAAATTTTCCTTAGAATTTTCCCTCAAAAGGTACGTGGTTAAACAATTCTTGGTCATAAAAAAGAAAAGAAGATCTAAGATGAGGAGAAAGAAGTGGTGACTTTTACTCCCACAGGGACTGGACTACGGTGACATTTCTTCAAAATTTATTATTTTAAAAGGTATTTTTATAATTTTTGTAGGTATTTCATAATTCAAAAATTTATCATTTTTGTGAATAATTTATTTTATTTATGGGTATTTTTACCATTATTGTAAGTATTTTTATCATTAATGTGATAATTATTTTTATCATTTTTCTACTGTACAAAAATAATTATCACTTTTGTAGTTGACTAGCCATATTTATGGGTATTTTTACTACTGTTGTGATAACTATTTTTATTATTTTTCTTCGGTATAAAAAAAATATATCACTTTTATATGTGATTTACTATATTTATTGGTGTTTTTACTACTGTTATATTAATTATTTTTATCACTATTTTCAATATCATAATAATAATAAAAATATCTAAAATATAATAAAAATTGATATAATATCAAAATTTTATTTTTTGTGTAACATAGACAAATCTAAAAATAGGAGGCGGAAGTGCCAAGGAGCATAAAGATAGAATGGAGTCATATAGGAATTATTTAGCATCCCAAGTAAAGAAGTTGATATTTTTAATTTTTTTTTGAGATTTGTAATTTTTATTTTATTTTTTTGGGCAAAGTCCAAATGGGTAAGGTGATTTCCAAGAATAATAACACACCAAACAAGGAACACACACTACACAGTACCAAAAATAAAGGAGGATAACGAGGCATGGGCTGGACTGTACATTTTCTGTGCTGGACTGTCACAAATAATGGGACATTATCCTACCTGCCCAAATAAATAAAGCTGCAATTATTACTATGGATAGAGCCCACAAGGATGTCATTGTCCCCCTCGTGATTCATGTGCCTTTATTTTTTTTTAGCTATTTAAAAAAAAAGAGGTAAAAGAGAGCTTATTGTAATCATTTTTTTATAAATTTTAATAGTAGAATCATGATATCTCTAATTATATCCGTTATTTTTTTGGGAAATGAGCTTAATTATACTAATATAATGGTCAATAATCAAAATCTAATATTGTATAAACTTCAATACATAAAAGTTTAACCTCAAAATAAAAAATTCGAATGTTACCCTATTAAGTCATTCACTCACTCGATAGTGTGATTCATGTGTCTCTGTTTAAAGAGATTCATTTTCTAAGCCGGACTGTCATAAATAGTGGGACATTATCCCAGCTGTCCAGATAAATAAAGCTGGAGCCCAGGAGAATGTCATTGTCTTCGTCGTGATTCATGTGTCTCCTCGTCCTTCTTTCTTTCTTTCTTTTTCTATTTATAAAAAGTAGGATAAAAGAGAACTCTTCGAAATCATTTATATAAATTTTATTGGTGGAATCATGAGATTTTTAATTATACTCGTTATTCTTCTTAGGAATGAACTTAATGAGGGTAACATTGCAGTCAACCACTAAATTCTAATGTGAACTACAAAATTTGAACCTCCAATTTTAAAGTGAAAAGTTCAACTAATATCCCACTAGACCATAGTGTAATTCATGTGTCTCTGTTTAATAGGATAAATTACAAAATGCTACCTTACCCAATTGTAAATTACTAGAAACATAGCAAAGTATTAAGAACCAGTTGTAATGATATATTTACTTTTTTCCCCGATAAGCAACGACAAGTTATACTAAAGGCTTAAAAACGTCACGGTTATACTATATCGTAACGGTGATATTGTGTAATTATTCAATAATAAAAAATTAACTGGACAAAGTGTATCCCATTTTTTTATATATAGTAGTTATTACATGATATAAACGAACTAGTTATTGTCTGTACCTGAAAGTACAGAGTAATAAAAAATGATAAACAATAAATATATTTTTGTTCATATTCAAAACCAAATCACAAACATAGAGAAGAGATAAAGAAATTTAAATATCGGTTTATTTATTGTTGTAAAAACCCTTGCTTCATGGTGAAGAGGTGGTGCCAAAAAAATAATAATAATAATAATTGGAACAAAATCTCTCCATTAGAGAGAATCACAAATCAATCTTGTTTGTGAATAATTTTATGAAATAATTGCTAAAACTTTGAGAAAAGAAATGAAATTAATAGGATACACATGGTTTGTTCCCACATCTCATTCACATCCTCTCAAATTGACCCTGTCAAAGTACCCTCCAGTCATCATTGACTAACCTTTTCTTATGGTGGTATTAAACAGTGCCACAATAGATCTAATAGGAAATTTATAAGAAAGAAGTCACATTACCATCCTAGAATCAGATCTGCTTTGATACTTTTTTTTTTTGA